CTATGACTTATTCCTCCTACTTTGGAGAAGAAACTGAGGCAGAGGGAAGTAAAGACACGTGCCCAAATTCACTGCTGCTTGCGCTGAGTGGCAGTGAGTGTCCGAATTTAAACTCAGAATTGACTGACTGCAAAGCTACCAAAGCCGGCTGGGTTCCCCGGACTTCGTTGCTCATTACCGAGGCCTTTTGTGGCAGATTTCCTGGTGCATCATGCTTGACCGGTGCTTCCATGAGCATTGATTGTGGATCCAAGCAAAAGGATTTCCTTGACATTGTCAACATTGTCTCCATTTATCACGGTGCTGCCTATTCGTCTAGTTGTGAGGACTTTGGCTTTCTTTATTAAGTTGCAAGCCATACGGAAAACTGTATTCTTTGGTCTTCAGTAGGTGCTTCAAGTTCTCTTGACTTTCAGCAGGCAAGTTTGTATTGTGTGCTCGTTGCATGTGTCCATGGGCAAGTTTGTATCGTGTGCACGTTGCAGGTGTCCATGGGCAAGTTTGTATCGTGTGCACGTTGCAGGTGTCTGTGAGCAAGTTTGTATCGTGTGCATATTGCAGGTGTCCATGGGCAAGTTTGTATCGTGTGCACGTTGCAGGTGTCCGTGGGCAAGTTTGTATCGTGTGCTCGTTGCAGGTGTCCATGGGCAAGTTTGTATCGTGTGCTCGTTGCAGGTGTCCATGGGCAAGTTTGTATCGTGTGCTCGTTGCAGGTGTCCGTGAGCAAGTTTGTATCATGTGCACGTTGCAGGTGTCCGTGAGCAAGTTTGTATCGTGTGCTTGTTGCTGGTGTCCATGGGCCGACCTTTCATCTTGATGCCCCCTTCTCCATACAGCCCAGCTTCTTGGACATTTGCTTAGCATACAGATTGAATAAGTGTGGCAAAAGGATTCAACCTGGCGCACACCTTTCCTGATTGTAAACCATTTGGTTTCCCCTTTATCTAATCGAACAACTGTCTCCTGGTCTAGGGACAGGTTCCGTGAGCACAGTGAAGTATTCTAGAATTCTTAATCCACAGTTGTTTTCATAGTCAATAGGACACAAGTAAACAGCTGTTTGGTATTCTCTGCTTTCAGCCACAATTCATCTGACATCGCCACTGATATCTTCCTTCCACAACTTAAGCTAATCCTGCTTAAATTTCAGCAGCTCCCTGTCAATGTGCTGCTGCAGCTGTTTTCGAAGTATGCTCAACAGCACTCTACTTGCATGTGATAGTGCGATATTACACAGTAATTTCGGTAGTCTGCCGGCGCATCTTCATTGGAAATGAGCACAAATACGCCTTCCAGTCACCAGCTGTCTCCTAGACGTCTTGACATCGGTGAGCGAGTGCTTCCAGCTCCGCATCAGCTTGTCGAGACATTCCCACTGGTGTTCTGCCCGTTCCCAGAGCCTTCAGTGCCGCTTGGACTTCCTCCTTCAGGGCCTTTGGTTCAGGATCATCTGCCACCTCTTGAAGGGTTGAACATCAGCCCCCCTTTGTGTGTGTGTGTGTGTGTGTGTGTGTGTGTTTGTTCAGGGACTCTGATGCTTCTTCTGTCTTCTTTTGATGTTTCCTGCTTCGTTCAGTGTTTTGCGTATTATCTTTCAGAATTGCACCTGCTCCTTCCCTTTTCATTTTCTAACTCAGGTCTTTGTACATTTCATTATAATACTCTGCTTTGTATATGAAATTTTATATGATCAGGATCAGGAGCCTTCTCATTATAAAATATGTTATTGTATAATATATGTATTATATTATATAATATATATATTATTGGGTGAGCCAGTGATGATGGGCACAGGGGACTAGTACATGTTCTAAAATTGATGGCGAGGAGGGTGGAGCTTTTCTTGTCTACTTGATCAATCAGATTGTATCGGAGAGGAATTAATGAGAGGTGAACGATGGGTAAACATGATAATTAGGCAAGAGGGGAAAAAAAGAAAAGGAGGAAAGTATATATGCAAATATATAAATATATGTGTTTTGTTTATGTATATATGAGCAAATGCAACAAGGAAGCAGATGGACTACTAAATCTTCCCTCAGTACAAGCATGGTTTGTTCTAATGATGCAGCACTGCATGATGCTCACCTCCTTAACAGATCATTGAAGACAAAGCGGGTGCATAAGCAAATGTGGTGAAGAAAGCTGATGGTGCCCGGCTATTAAAAGATTTAGTCTGGGGTCTTAAAGGTTTATAGTTAAACAAGTGGCCATCTAGCAGGGAAGCAACAAAGCCCCCATGGAAGAAGCACACCAGCCTGTGTGACCATGAGGTGTCAACGGGAAGAGGTATCAAAAGTTCAAAAACAAGCAACTAAATTGATGTGAAGGGGAATGGAGGTAGTGGAGACACAAAAGCTACTTGTAAGATAATTGGACAGTCCCTCTCAGAAGGGCCACACAGAAGGGATGATAAATACAGGGGGCAGTATTGTACTGATGAACCACATAACTATCCTCTAGTTCATTAATATTTCCGCCCCTTACTATCATGGTTATTATTTGTTTTACCTCATTAATCATGTTAGATTTGCATTATGGTCATTTGTATATTTAAGATTGTTTGGTACATGAAAGCCAAGATAGATAACCCTTTAGAAACTGTAACCGGAGTAATGGTTCCCCAAGGGTACAAGAAGAGGGGGGTGGGGAAGGGAAGAATAGGGAGTGGATAGGATTGAACAGAATTATTTGTGAATGGATATATTGGATTGTGTAAAATATGGGGGGGACTATTATAGGGAAATATATATCTATAATGGGGTTCCTGGGGGGTATGGGGGTGGTGGAGGGAGGAGATAAAGCTGATTTCAAGGAGTTCAAGAAGAAAGAAAATGTTTTGAAGCGGATTGCGGTAGCAATTGCACAATGCTGCTTGATGTGATTGGACTATGGAATGTTAGGGTATCTGTAAGAGCTCCCCCAAAAATGATATATATATGTTTGTTTGTATGTGTATAGAGAGAGAACAAAAACTACCATTTTAGCTATTTCGAAGCATATAATTCAGGAGCTTTCATTTTAAATCATAAACCAAGGAATATGATGATAGCTTGTCTATAGAGCTTTTGTCCTGCTAAGCTATCTGTAATAGCTGCATACAAATTAAGAAGTACCCCATAGAAAAGAGGTGATCTGGAGATGCAGTGATTACGTTTTGGGCTGCTAATGGTAAGGTCAACAGTTCAAAACCATCAGCCATTCCTTGGGAGAAAGACGAGGCTTTCTTCTCATTGAAGAGCTGTCTCGGGAGCCCATACGGGGCAGTTATACCCTTTACTATGGGGCTGCAGTAAGTCAGAATGGACTCAGTGGCAGTGAGCTTGATTTTTCCATAGCAAAGGACATCCAGGGTAGCTGTTAACATTGTGAGGAGGGACCACAATCTCTGGAGACATCTAACAATTGGCACATCACAGTCCATGAAAACAGCATTCTGCATCCTACTGTGTGAGTGGCGACTGGGATCCTGCAAGCTTATGATTGGCCATCTAAGATACAACTATTGGGCCTTTTCCTCCCAGATCAAAGAAGAGTGTGGGTGGGGGAATCAAGGCCCAATGAAACAATTAGTTTAGAGGGCTCAGGGACCACATTAAGCCCAGCCTCCACTGGCTTGAGTCCAGAACTAGATGGAACTTGACCCCTACCAACCACCGTGATCAGGTTCACAATGAAAGGCCCTGGAGCACTGTCAGAGAAAATGTAGAGCAAAATCCAAAATCATACAAAAGGCCAGACTCATGGGTCTGATAGAGACTGGTGGATCCTCTAGGAGTATAGCCCTTAAACAACCTTCAAGTAAGTAATAAAATGTAAAATAAATGAGCATTCTGGCAGGAATTGTTCTAAGATATAACGGATCGGTTCCTCGGGCAGTCCATGGTACTTTCAGGGCTCTTCCCCGCACCATGATTCCGACGCACTGATCCTTCTTGGGTCTTCCTTATTCAGTGTCCCACTTCCTTATGCTCACGAGGCCATTGAAAGTACCATGGCTTGGATCAGGGGCACCTGCGTTCTCAAAATAACATCCTCACTTTTCAACACTTTGAAGAGGTCTTGGGCCGCAGATTCACCCCATGCAGCGAGTCATTTGATCTCGTGACTGCTGATTCCATGAGCGCTGACTGGATCCCAGTGAGACAGGCTCCTTGGCCACTTCAGTCTTTTCTCCACTTACATGATGGTACCTATTAGATCTTCGTTTCCTTTACTGTAGGTTTGGTTTTCTTTGGGTTCAAATCCATACCGAGGGCTGCAATCCTTGATCTTCATCAGCAAGTGTCTTAAGTCCTCCCTACTTTCGGCAAGCAAGGTTGTGTCATCTGCATCTCTCAGATTGTTCATGAGCCTCCCTCCAATCCTGATGCCAAATTCTAGCCAAGTAATAGGCCTGTAAAGTAAACAATACACCCATGAGGTGCCTACTCCTTAGAACAGTCAATCATAGGAGACCAAAAGGGCAATAGTTGCCTAGCAACACCGTTCTGAAGGTAGGAAGGGGCAGGAGAGATGACTGTGTGGAAACCGAGAACCCAGGGAGGAAATGGGAAGAGCATTGTTGAAATCTCACAAAGCAAAATGTGTCGAAATTGTTGGCTGAGAAGCAAATTTGCTCTGTAAACTTGCACCTAAACCACAATAAAATGCTTGGGGTGGGGGTGCGGGGTTATAATGACCATATAATGAAAGCTCCCACTTTCCATCCCCACCCAGTGTCCTGCCCCCAACATAGCATTTCTGCCCACAGGCTTCCTGGAGGCCCAGAGATACTTGGACAAGGCCCCATCCTCTTTGCAAGCCAAATCACACAGAGATAGTGGTGCAGCAGAGAGGGGCAAAGGGAAGGGTCAGGGGCCCGGGGTCCACCCCTGCTGCATCCTGATTGGACCGTGAGCTCTAGGCCCTCGACTTCCATGCTCAGAGAGTGAACATCAGCGAGAGAGGGTCTGGCCCTTCAGTGTGGCTCACTGGGCTTCTCTATCCTCTGAGGGCAGAGGCGTCACTGCTGCCCCCGGGCCCTGTGCTGGAGTGGCCCCTGCCCGCCTCCAGCATGGCGTCCGACACGCCGGAGTCCCTGATGGCCCTCTGTACCGACTTCTGCCTGCACAACCTGGATGGCACCTTGGGCTACCTACTGGACAAGGAGGCCTTGCGGGTCCAGCCCGACATCTTCCTGCCCAGCGAGATCTGCGACCGGCTCGTCAATGAGTGAGTGGCCAGTGAGCGAGGGGCAGGGCTGGAGAGTGACCCTGTGTGTACGTACCACGTGGGTGTGTACAAGCACATGAATATTTGTGGGTGCAGTAGAATGTGGTCTATCCATAGTAGTCAAGATCTGTGGGTACGTGTTGGTATACACTGAGGAGGAGAGTACACTTGAAGGAATGGGTGTACGTACACCAGTGGCCTCAAAAGGCACAAAGACACGTGTAAGTGCAAAAGAACGTGTGTGTGTGTGTGTGTGTGTGTGTGTATAGGCTGAGTTTGTGCATTAAGTGAGGGAGAACAGCCAGTACTGAAACAATGGCCCGGGGATCCAGTCAGCCAGGGGGATCCCTAGAAGCTGCTGTTTCCACTGACTTCTGGGAACTCAGCCCAGGTGCCCACAAGGGACAACTGCAAACAAAAGTAGGTGCCTGTATGTGACCAGGGGCCAAGTACTAGGTTGGACATTTTTCAGTCCAGAATTATGTCCATTTTACAGATGAGGAAACTGAGATTCGGTTACTTGTGGGAAGCCGCCCAGGTAGTAGCCACCAAGACAAAATGTAGACTCGAGCCCGACTTCTAAGGCTTCCCACCAGGCACGAGTCTGGCGTGAGTTCACACCCCAGCCAGGTCTTACTGACGGCTTGCCCTCGACCCTGCTGCACCCTGCAAAGCACTTAGCTTGATTGTCCTGTGTGAATTGTTTTATCAGGGAGGGGCTGGTAAAAGGACAGTGGGTGGTGCTGTGGGAGTGGGGGAGGAGGGTGCGTGACAGGAGCGGTCACTCGAAGAGGCAGCGGGATGCGTGGGGGTGTGTGATGGGCGTATGCACTGGGGGAAAGAGACTTGGACTGGTTTATTGGTAAGAGGCTCTAGCCCCAAAGTTGGTGGTTCAGACCCACCCGCTGCTCCGTGGGAGAAAGCTGAGGGTGTCTGCCCCCGTGGTCATCCAGTCTGGGAAACTACTGGGAGCTGGAAGGGGCTCTATGGCTGTGGGCGAGTCAGCCCCAGGAAGGAGCCCAGCTGCTGCAGCGGGTGAAACATCAGACGGCTGACCACAAGGTTCCCCTCTCAAGCCCAGCCGCCCCTCTGCGGAGAAAGCTGAGGGTGCCCACTCCCACAGACGGACAGCGTCAGAAAGCTAACGACACAGCTCTGCCCCGTCCTGTAAGGTCACTGTGCGTGGGAAGGGACTCGAGGGCAGTGAGCTTGGTTTTGGGCTTGGTCACAACCAGAAGGTCGCCTGGAGAGCTAGCCCCCTTTGAGCTCCTGGTCCCCAGGCACCCTCAGTCCCACGGGCATCGCCCCTATAGTGTAGCCTGGGTCCAACCAGGTCCCCTCGGGAGGAAGCAGCACAGGCTACCTGATCAGGACAAGGAGGGACCGGGCTGGGTCCCTGGGCCCCTCCCTGGAGCCTGGCTTCTCTCCCAGGTATGTGGAGCTGGTCAACGCTGCCTGCAACTTTGAGCCCCACGAGAGCTTCTTCAGCCTCTTCTCGGACCCTCGCAGCACCCGCCTCACCCGAATCCACCTTCGGGAAGACCTGGTGCAGGACCAGGATCTGGAAGCCATCCGCAAGCAGGCGAGTCACGGGCATGCGGGGGGAGGCCAGCCCAGAAGGCTCAAATGGGGAGCTGGGGCAGGGCCACTCCCCTGCAGCCCCAGAACCCCCGGCAGGTGAGCGGGCAGTGGTGACGGGGCCGTGCCTGTCCCCAGGACTTGGTGGAGCTGTACCTGACCAACTGCGAGAAGCTGTCCGCCAAGAGCCTGCAGACCCTGCGCAGCTTCAGCCACACGCTGGTGTCCCTGAGCCTCTTCGGCTGCGCGAACATTTTCTACGAGGAGGAGAACCCGGGGGGCTGCGAAGACGAGTGCCTGGTCAACCCCACCTGCCAGGTGCTGGTGAAGGACTTCACCTTCGAGGGCTTCAGCCGCCTCCGTTTCCTCAGTCTGGGCCGCATGATTGACGGGGTCCCCGTGGAGTCCCTGCTGCGGCCGCTCAGCTCACTGGCCGCCTTGGACCTCTCGGGCATTCAGACGAGTGATGCGGCCTTCCTAGCGCAGTGGAAGGACAGCCTCGTATCCCTTGTGCTCTACAACATGGACCTCTCGGATGACCACATCCGAGTCATCGTCCAGCTGCACAAGCTGCGGTGAGCTCCCTGTGACAGGCGGCGGGGAGGCACTCGGAAGAAGTGGGTGGGTGCTGTCCATCCCAGCGAGTACGTGAGCCGGGAGAGGGTGGATGGAAGAGGCAGGCCCCTTCCTTCAAACCCAGCGTTCCACCCGGGCTGGGCCTGCCCTGCTGTGGACTGAGGGCGCAAGGATCTACAAGACGGCCCCAGCCTGTGTCCCGCCTGCTCCTGACCCATGGCCCCACTCTCACCCCCCAGACACCTGGACATCTCGAGAGACCGCCTCTCGAGCTACTACAAGTTCAAGCTGACTCGGAAGGTGCTGAGCCTCTTCGTGCAGAAGCTGGGAAACCTGATGTCGCTGGACATCTCTGGCCACATGATCCTGGAGAACTGCAGCATCTCCAAGATGGACGAAGAGGGGGGCCAGACCAGGTGGGGCTGGAGGCAGGGGCTGCTGGGACCCCCTCCTGCGTCCTGCAGCAGGCATTCGCCCTTTCTGCCAAGTGCCGGGCCTATGCTGGAGATAAAGAATGCATCGGGCCTTGTCAGAGTCCGTGGGAGCTAGTAGGGGACAGACACGTCCATGGGCCAGAGTGAGGGATGTGGTTGGAGGGGCAGGACGGAAGCCAGCAAAGAGAGAGGTCTTTCTGGGGTTGCCGGAGGAAGAGGGTGCTGTAGCCGAGGGGAGAGCATGGACAGAGGTGGCAAAACCGTTCATGAGTGAAGGGGAGATTAGCAAGTGCCCAGACCAACGGAGCACCCCCAGGGAGAGGCCCAGACCACTGACCTCGGCCCCTTCTCCCCGCAGCATTGAGCCCTCCAAGAGCAGCATCATGCCTTTCCGGGCCCTGAAGAGGCCGCTGCAGTTCCTCGGGCTCTTCGAGACCTCTCTGTGCCGCCTCACGCACATTCCGGCCCACAAAGTGAGAAGCAGGAGCAGGAGGGTATTGGGGGTGGGGTGGGGTGGGGAGGACTGAGTGGGCTCCAGGGAAGCCATCACCTGGCCTCCTGTGGTTGTTCTGAGCATGCCCGGTCCCCAGGTAAGCGGTGACAAGAATGAAGAGCAGGTGCTGAATGCCATAGAGGCCTACACGGACCATCGGCCTGAGATCACCTCTCGGGCCATCAATCTGCTGTTTGACATCGCACGCATTGAGCGCTGCAACCAGCTGCTGCGGGCCCTGAAGGTCAGCCCCAAGGCCGCTCCCACCCACATCCTGGACCCTCTGTACCCACCCCTGTTCCTCTTCCCCGGAGCTGGCAGTCCCTCCTCCAGCGTCCTCGGTGCCCGCCCCATCCTCTCACAGCACCTAACTTATTTGGGCTTTGGCCTCCCACATACCTTGCTCCCTGCAGGCCTTAGAGCACAGCCCGCCCAATTTCTGCTCCCCTCCGAGAGCAGGGTCAGCTAGGCCGTCTCCCAGACGGTCTGCCTGAGCCCAGCGCCCAAAGCCCTGCCCTGGGCCTGGCCCAGCTGCCACAGAGTGGCCAACAGGGGCCTCTGTCCTGTCTTCTGACAGCTGGTCATCACAGCCCTCAAGTGCCACAAGTATGACAAGAACATTCAAGTGACAGGCAGTGCCGCCCTCTTCTACCTGACCAATTCTGAGTACCGCTCGGAGCAGAGCGTCAAGCTGCGGCGGCAGGTCATCCAGGTGGTGCTGAACGGCATGGAGTCCTACCAGGAGGTGACGGTGAGCCCCCGACCCACCAAGGTCCTGCATGCTTTGGCCAGCTGCCCGTCCCTGCTCTCCAGTGCCCCAGCCCGCCCTTCAGAGTGCCCAGCTGACTCTCCTGTCTCTCACCTGCCTCTAGACCACTCCCTCCCCACCCCCTTCTCCACTGCCTCACTCCCAACCTCAGCTCCTGGTCCAGCTTCCCGCCCACTGCCCACTGCTCCTCCCCATGCGCACACTTGGCCACCTCAGCCCTGTCCGCCTCCCCAAGCCCCAGCTGGTGCCATCTCCCAGCCACACTCTGTGGAAGCTTATTTGCTTCCATAACTTTTTCTTATGAAAAGAATATACTTTTTTTTAACTTTGTCATTAAAGATGTGTAAATACTAATTGAGAAAAGGAGGGAAATTCATCCCAGCACCACCCAGAACCCAGAGATAGCTAGCACTAACACTACCTGCCACCCTTCCAACTTTGATCTGTGTCCATATTGTGTGTTTATGGTTAGTAAAAGGTCTCCTCCTTCATGTATTGTAGATGTAACATGGATTTTCAATTCAATAGTGGCTTATGAGTGTGAACATCCCCTATATCTTATTTTTGCACATAATCAAATAATGGTTTACTTTGGATTGCTAAGATACTTTATGCTTTGAGAAAAAACAAACAACTTCTCAAAAATTTTTCTTTTGTTTTAATGTGTTGAATAGAAAATGAAAGTCATTCCATCTCCTCCCCGAGAAGGCTGGTGCTGCCAGAGTGGTTTCCTAATTGCTCACCTCAGCCTAGTGTCCCGAGTCACTGGAATGGCCGCTCTGTTGGGGCTTGGGGTCCGGGGCCAAGCCCGGCCTGTCTGTTGGACTCCTGTGAGCACAACATGGGCCCGTAGCACAACATGGGCCCGTAGACGTGGTTGCGCGTCCGGGTGCTGTGTCTTGGGTGCTATTTCACACCATGCTCTGCTGGCCCTGTTTGATTACCTTGGCTATGTCTGGATACCACATTTCTGGAATTGCTGGGGCAGTTTGTCCTCGTCCTCCAGAAAGGTGCGTGCTCTCTTCCCTCTGCAGGAGTGAGAAGTACACACACACACACACACACACACACCCTCCCGGGCAGGGATTCTCTACAGCGAGCACAGTGACACTGGCTTTACAATCAGGTCAAGGGGGTGTCCTTTTTTTTTTTAATGAAAAGCTAATCAATACGTAAATGCGTGTTAGTTGAAGACACCAGAGAAACGGACAGTAAAGTGACGACTCACGTGTCAACTGGAGAAGCCGGCAGGTGCTGCCCCCTGCCGGCACGGCCCAGGGGAGCGCCCGCTGTGCTCCTTGTCCTGGTGAAGGGCAGACCAGTTTGGGAGAGCCAGGGGTAGAACTGAACCAGAGTGATAGGTGCATTTACCCCTGGTCAGAGTTATTTGAACATTGAACAATGAGTCCGTATTGCTTCTATCATTTAAGATTTGTTTTCCCCAAATTAATAAAAAAGTATATGTCTTCCGGCGGGGGGTGGGGGGTGGTGGGGGAGAGCAAAGGCAAAAGGTTGATAGCCCAAGTAGGATGTGATTAATGAACTAAGGTCCCTCACGCTCCCATAGCTAGTAATAAAGGCAGGAAGACGATTAAGCAAAGTGTAGAAAGATAAGCTCCTGGGGGATGGGCAACAGAGGGGTAGGTGAAGGGAGACGCCGGGCAGTGTAATATAAGATATAATAATAATTTATAAATTATCAAGGGTGCATGGGGGAAGGGGGCAGAGGAAGGGAGGGGGAGCGGGGGAGGAAAATGACCTGATTCCGGGAACCCAAGAGGCAAGTGAATTTTGGGAATGATGAGGACAACAAATGTATAGATGTGCTCTACACAATTGATCTATGTATTGTGATGAATTTTATGAGCCCCAATAAATTGATTAAAAACAAACAAACAAAAAAAGATAAGCTCCTAGACAGGTGAGCACAGGTAGCGCTTCCAGTGTGACGCTGCTCATGGTACATCCCGTTAGGAAACTGGTGTTGCCCAGTCAGGTGGGAGACGGGCAGAGCGTGGGAGCCAGCCGTTCTATTCCCCAGGTGTGTGACCTAGAGAAACAAATAGGGACGCACCAGGACACGTGTTGGCAGAAGCCGAAGACTGAAGCCAGCCCACCACCTGTCAGCAGAATAATGAATCGTAAATTGGAGTGTCTCGCAGTAGACTTACACTGCAATGAAAAGTGTGTGGCTTTCAGCCACATGCAGCGGCAGGCTTGATCTTACCGCTGACCGCACAGAACAGCGAGGATCACGGCCATCTCTAGTGGGGAGAAGGGCTCATGACCCGGAAGGGAACCAGCTGGGGACTTCTGACGCTGGAGGGCTTTTCCAGGTGGGGGTTACGCAGGCGTTCCCTTTATAATGTGTCCATTTCTGTTTCATGCATTCTTTCCTATGAATGTGCCATTTTACTTTAAACAAAAGTGAAAAAAGAAAAGCCTGGTGCTGTCCTTTCAAGAAGGCTTCCTGGATCACCACCGTGCTGTCGGTCACGGGTCTCTGGAACGTGCCCCGCTTGTCCCCTGTCCCGGCCCAGGTCCAGCGGAACTGCTGCCTGACCCTGTGCAACTTCAGCATCCCCGAGGAGCTGGAGTTCCAGTACCGCCGCGTCAACGAGCTGCTGCTCAGCATCCTCAACCCCACGCGGCAGGACGAGTCCATCCAGCGCATCGCCGTGCACCTGTGCAACGCCCTGGTCTGCCAGGTGGACAACGACCACAAGGAGGCCGTGGGCAAGATGGGCTTCGTGGTGGTACGTGCAGGGTGGGCGCCCCTCCTCGCCATCACCCCTCTGCCTGGATTCTCGCCCAGTAATTAAAGAGCACTCTGCTCACATACCCTGCCGCCCTCCCCATTGGAGGATAGTCTCAGAGGAGAGTCCAGGCTGAGGAGGCAGGGGCTTGTGCTGAAGCACGAGGACTTGGCCGACCAGAGGAAGAACTTCCTAGCAGTGCACGTTTCTGAGAACACCTGTAGACTCCCTAGAACACTCTCTCACCCTCTTTCATTAGGTCCCACTTTGCATACAGGCACTCCTGCCTCCTCTGATAGGTTGTGCACCCTTTACACCATCTCAATTGGGATTACAGAAGTATTTGAGGGACTGTGTGTGCTTACTGTCAGCCCCCACTCCCCATGAGCGTCTCAGGAAAAAGACCCCAGGCTGTCTTCTCATCAGCACGTCCCCTGCTTCCTAGCGTGGGCCTGTGCCCAGCGGGGAGAGGATAAGCATTTCCAGAAGGAAGGGAAGGAAGGAAGGATGGATCTCCAGAGCATCCCATCTCCTCTCCTGGATTGCTGGGAGGCTGCAGGGCAGACAGGAGGGGCCGTGCCCCGGTCTGATGGGCAAGCATGTCTCCTGCTGCCCAACGTGAAGGGTGTGTGGTGTGCGGCCTCACTGTCCTCACGCAGCCTCCCCGGAGCTCTGTGGACTTGGTCTCGTCAGGACGTCTCACCAGAAATGGGATCACCAGCTCTCCAGATCCTCTTTCGGTCTCGGGTTCTCGGGGAGACGTGGTGGTTCTGGGCGCTAGCCCCTCAGCAAGCCCTCTTCTCCCCCTCAGACCATGCTAAAGCTGATTCAGAAGAAGCTGCTGGACAAGATTGTAAGTCACCTCTTCCGGAAGCCCCTGTGCCAGCCGCCCCCCCCCAAAGGGTGATGGTCTGTCCCTGGGGGGGTCCCAGCTTTGTCAGGGGAGCCTGCTGAGTCCCCCCCACCCTGCAGTGTGACCAGGTGATGGAGTTCTCCTGGAGCGCCCTGTGGAACATCACAGACGAGACGCCTGACAACTGCGAGATGTTCCTCAACTTCAACGGCATGAAGCTCTTCCTGGACTGCCTGAAGGTAGCCCCCCGAGCAGCCCGTGCCATCCAGCCTTCTGCCCCTGGGTTCTCTTACCAACCAAATCTACCACCACTCCCTCCCCCCCTGGTCCCACTAAAAGGCAAGCGGGGACAGGCTCAGGGTCCACCGGCCCAGGAGGTGTTTCAAACAGAAACTCCACCCAGAGCTCCCCTGAGCCAGACAATCTGGACGCCTCTCCCTGGGGGCCCTCTCTCTGAGGGAAAGCACACCCCCACTTCTCAGCAGTGAGTTCTCAGACTTCCCAGAGACGACGGTCTGGACTCTGCCAGGGCGTCAGCTGGACAGAAAGACAGAATTCTGCCCAGCAGAGTCTGTTCCTCTCCAAACTCATCCTCTCTCCGCGGCTCCAGCTGCAGCTGCAGGGATCCCCATAAAGGAGCCACCACCATTCTCCTGGGTGCCCTGGAACGGCCCCGCAGGCCCTAGGAGTAATGAGGCGCTCACAATGGCCCTTGTTTGCAGGAGTTCCCGGAGAAGCAGGAATTGCATCGGAATATGCTGGGACTCTTGGGAAACGTGGCCGAGGTGCAGGAGCTGCGACCCCAGCTGATGACGTCCCAGTTCATCCGCGTCTTCAGGTCGGTGTCCCCTCCTTCCCCGCTGCACTGGCTGCCAGGGTGGGCAGAGCTCTGCCTGGGTCCAGTTGCAGCAGCAACGGCAGACCTCACTTTCTGTCCTCAATGTGACGCCCCTCCCTAAGGTGTCCTGTCCCTGCCCCTTCAACCCTCGGCCCCCCGTGAAATGGTCTCCTTGTGGCCGGTACCGCTGTGAAGAATGAGCTATAAGTAGAGAGCACCTCCGGCGTCTGGCGTCTGGTCCCTGAAGCGGGCCTGGGGGAGGGAGACTCCCATGTTTCCCCCTTCCTCCGGGCAGCAACCTGCTGGAGAGCAAGGCAGACGGGATCGAGGTGTCGTACAACGCCTGCGGAGTCCTCTCCCACATCATGTTTGACGGGCCCGAGGCCTGGGGCATCTGCGACCCCCAGCGGGAGGAGGTGGAGGAGCGCATGTGGGCAGCCATCCAGAGCTGGGATACCAACTCGCGCAGAAACATCAACTACAGGTGGGTGCAGGGAGGGCCTGGGCCAGGGAACGGGAGCAGAGTCTAGTCAGCTGATGGCCTGCCTTCTCTCCCTCGCCGACTCAAAGCCCACACTCGGGCAAGAGCAGAAGGTGCCGCACGCACGTGTGCCCAGTCGGGGGCTCTGCTCGGGCACCTCAACACCTGCACAGCATCCAGAGCCTGCTCCTGGCAAGTAATGTTTTGAGTAGGGCCTACGCAGCTGATCCCTGAGAACAGGAGAAAAGGCAGACCTAGGAAACACTTCACCCTTGAAAGTCAGCCCCAGTTAAGATCTTACTGTTTCTCCAAAGACGCCATGGGCCTCTCCCTCCTTCTGGCCAGCGGTTTTACCAGGCACCATGTTAATTACTTGGTAGCAAGCTGGCCTCAGTCCCTCCTAGACGGTGGATGGCCTCCTCGCCCAGGTTAGGGTCTCCCAGGCCAACTTGTGCCAGCCGGGCCCTTACTCCATGGGAGCGGGCCACCCTGCACCGGTTACATTGCAGCCGAAAACCCCCGTCGGGAAGAGGAGCTGCTGCCTGTAACTTTGCCCTCGTTCCAGGCACCTTAGTCCCTGGGGTGCCAGGAAGTGGACCCACCAGCGGGTTTGTGTGTATCTGCCTCCAGGTGACTCCCAGAAGACTGGTCAAAAGAGCAGGCACTTTTTCTTCTGCCTCCCAGCCACCCCTCCCCCCCATCATGGCTGGGTCTGCCCTCAGCAGAGGGCGCCAGCTTTTTGCACCACCCAGTCTGCATCCAGGGAGCACTGGTGGCATCGTGGCTGCTAATCGCAAGGTCAGCAGTTCAAAGCCACCAGCTACTCTGTGGGAGAACAACTAGGCTTTCTATTTCCATAAAGAGTTAGCAGTCCTCCAAACTTCACCGGGGCAGTTCTATCCTGCCCTGTTGGGCTGCTAGGTCAGCATTGACTCAGTGATGGAGGTTTGGGGAATCTGTGACCCGCCCTCTTCCCTTCTGTGCTCATTCTGTGACCTCTAGCCAGGGAGTCCCCTCCATGGAGTCTGACTCCAAGGGTGAGGGCGTGCCCTTCGCCAGTGCGTCCTGCTCCTGGTTTCCCGGCAGACCTTTCAGGCAAGAGACACTCTGGACAAGAGACTCCTCGGGCCTCCACCAAGCACCACAAGTGACCTTCATTCCTCTCCTCACAGGTCCTTTGAGCCAATCCTTCGCCTCCTCCCCCAGGGCATCTCCCCCGTCAGCCAGCACTGGGCAACCTGGGCCCTGTACAACCTTGTGTCTGTCTACCGTGAGTACCCATTGGCCCTGCGCCCAGGCACCGGGGAGCTCACCAGCTGAAAGCAGGCTCGGCCTCAGGGAGCTTCTAGTACTGGAGGGGGTTACTAAGAGAACTGGTCTGAGCACCTCCCCTTTCCAGAATCTGTGGGGTTCCCCAAACCAGGCCCACCCAGAGTTCCCAGACAGGCTTCCTAATGTCCCTGCTTCAGTGTCAGGGAATGGAGGGACGCAGGCTAAGACCCACCCAAATGGGAAAACAAAGCCCTGAGGAGGCAGCGTCAGAGAGAACATTGAAGTAGCTCCAATCTGCATGCTCCGAGTCTCATCCTCACCAAGAAGAGCCTGAGCCATCCTCTGCTGGTGCAGAGACAGCTGCGGGGGAGAGGAAATAACAGGGACCGTGCAAAGAGAGATTTTGGTCAAGCCAGGTCTGACCTCTAGCAGTTCTTTCTCTTACTAGTTCTGTGACCTCACGCGGAGTTTCTCGCCTTTATCATGGGCACGGCCCTAACACCTAGCTCCTTGGGCCTCTGTTTCCTCATCTTTAAAACGGGGATAACCTAACACTTACCTTATAAGCGTCGCATGAAAGGAGGGCCAGCGCACGTGAAGCGTCTCGCCTCTGCCTGCGCTGTGCAGCCTGCCCGTCCTGCTAACTGGCAGAGTGGAGGAAGAGCGCAGGTGCTGCAAGCTGCCTGCCGAGTGAGGTGACGCACGATGGGTTTCCCAACCCCTCTGCTTCATTTCCTCATCTTTAAAGTGGGATCATAATGGCTCGGGCATGTATAGTGCACAGGATCATGCTTGGCACATACCGACTGCTCAATAAGCAGCTAGCCCTAGTATAATATAGGTTCATATACCTGTGTAATATAAGCTTACCACAAAGAAGCCATGTAGCAGGGAGCAAACAGCCCTGGGTTGGGACTCCCCCAGACGGCCCTCTGGAGTGACTTTATTTCACCCTTTTGAACCTCAAAGAATTGAAAAATGACCATGGTAACAAACAGCTCCCTACAGATGCACGAGAAAATGTCCTCGTGCTTTCTGTCTGCCGGCTTGTGGCAGCTGTGACTGAATAGGGGGACGGTGATGACTGTCAGAGAAGGTTCCATGAAAGGGCTCCTTGTGATGTCACTCAAGTGTTGGCTAATTTGTCCTACACCTGTTAATTTGAAAGCAGAAACGTTAAAATATGCAGGTGAGAGGCAGGCTAGGGGGTCTTTCCAGGTCTGGCATCGTGTGAACAGGGTGAACTAAGTTGGCATTCTAGAATTTGCCCTTGGGGCTCCAAAATTCATGCACCACCAGAAGCTAAGTCGAACCGATCAAGAGGACCCGGTGACAGTTTTTCATAAAATTATCCTCGAGGTGCCCAGTAGCCACTAGGTTCTTAACTCTGTTTACTGTAAGTGCCGGTAACAGGGAAGTTGAAGTCCCAGGTTGCTGTCGGGTCAGCCATTATTGAACTTTTGCTGTGAGATGGTTAAACCTTAAAACGAATGTAGAAAATTTTGGAGAGAAAACAGAAGCAGCTCCGTTTTGCCTAACGCTGCTGGAGGTACAAACAAGGTGACCACGTTCTCTGTGGAGTCCAGAGCCCTGGATGGTGAACAAATAGAATGTTCTTTCCTGGATACAAATGGGAAAACCCTCCAGTAGGAAGGTTTGGCAGTCCCATTTGGTTGACCTCTCGTGGTCTTTGGTCTCCAACCTGGCTGGTCACCAGACTCACCCGGTTGAAAATATAAATAAGCGTCCATCCCTGGAGCTGTGCAGCCACTTCTGTGAGAAACCTCCTGTCTGTTGGGGGAACCCTCGTTTCTGTGATACATCCTCTACAGGGAGATTTAGAGATCTGCCTGCGGGAGCAGAGGAGAGCTGGCCTCTCCCCTGCCCGTTACAGAGCGGCTCTTTGCCCAGGCCTGCGTCTTTGTCCTTCCTCTTTGGAAAGGTGGGCCTCTAGGCCCCAGGCTGCTTGAAGGGGCTCCCTGCTAGCTAACGTGCCTGTCTACCCCAACCCCACAGCGGACAAATACTGCCCTCTGCTGATCAAAGAAGGCGGGATGCCCCTTCTGAGGGACCTGATCAAGATGGTGACCGCACGGCAGGAGACCAAGGAAATGGCCCGGTAAGGCACCGGGTTTCTACCTGGCACCTTGATTTGGGGGATGCGAGGGGCACAGCAGGGAACAGCCGCAGGCCGCCTCCACTGGTTGGGAATGGCTGCTGTTGGGCCTATTGTTGTCCTGACGGGGGCCTCCCTTAGTGCCATCGAGATCATCACTCTCAGAATAGAGTAGACTTGCCCTAGTTTGTAAGCGTAGGTTTCCTCTCTGCCCCCAAATTCCCGCCTCTTGGCACTCGGCATTAGCATGCACGATCAGAGTTTTTCCTGCCAACTCAAGAGTGGACCCGGCACAGTCAAATCCACCCAAGAGATGGAAACAGGGCAGACTGCAAGTCAGTGTCCGAACGTGACAGTTGCTGGCACAGCGGGCAGGGCCTTCAGGCTGTGGGTTGCTGGGTGGTTTTAGACAAAATCACTGTGGCCCCGCGTCTCACACACAAAAGGGACTCAGAGACACACACGGCATGGCAGAATCGGTAGTGGCTGACTCGCTTTGTTTGGGATGGAGAAGAGGTCACAGTCATGCTCACCCCAGTAAACGTTTGTCATTCTAACTGGAGGGCAGAACAAAAGGCCATGTGGAGGAGGGTCTGGAGCTCTGGGGTTTCCCAGACAGCAGCTCCGAGTGCTGGGGGCAGGGAGGACGAGCCTAGGGCACTGAGTAGAAGCGGAGAGGTGGTTCTGTACCATCCTTTCTCTGAAGGACCACCCAGAAAGAGTGTTCAAAGTGCACACTCCCTGGAGTGCCTTTTCCAGTGGGCCCAGGAATAGTCCTTTAACATGTGTCCCAAGAAACTAGAGACGCTCTCAGTCCGACTGACCAATCCCCAGTCCCCGGCCCTGAAAACCGGCCACGTGTGCCTGAGCGGATTGCCCGGTGCGACAGCAGACGGCAGGACAGTGCAGTCAGGTGGCTGGAGAGGACACTGGGGAAAGAAAGAGGTGTCCGTGTCTGTGACTCCTGGTCTCCCTTACTTCCTGGAAGGCATTGGGACCTCTGTGGTGCCTTGCGGCCACACGGTGACTCTCCCCCGCCTCACCTCCCTCGACCCAGAGGCTTAGTGCTAAACGGGGAGGCCGGGCCACCGAAGGTGACCCCTGACAGTAATGGGGCAGTGGTTCTTGGAGTCAGTCTGGAGTGAGCAAGAGACTCACTCTGAGCCTGAGGGGTGGTTCTCAGCCCAAAGCCGTGTTGGGCACGGCTGCGGAAAGGCACCTGGGCTCTGTGAAGACGCAGCTTCCCCAGCCCCACCCCAGACTTGCTGCTGAACCGAGACCTCTGGGTCTATCTGTGGGACCTAGACTTCCTGGGTCACTCAGAGGACCCGCAGTGAACTTGAAGAAGCCCGGGTGGCACTCAGATTAAGTCCTGAGCTTTTAACCACAGGGTCAGCAATTCAAACCTACCAGCCACTCTGGGAGAAAGATGAAGCGATTTGCCCCATAAAGATATATAGCCTTGAAAAACAATATCTAGATGGATGGATGTGTGTGTGTGTGTGTGTGTGTGTGTGTGTGTGTGTGTGGTCCCAACGAGTCCGAATCACCTCCATGGCAGTGGAGTGGACTTGCAGGGCCGGTGGGGGGCAGGGGGAGGATAGTGCAAGGAAAAGTTTGGGGGGACATGAAGAAGGGAGGTCTTGGTGAATAAAGGACCAAAGGGATTTGGAGGTGCTGGCTAGGGGCCCCCCTTACTGTGCACAGGTGCCCTGAGCCTGAGGGCTGGAAGGTGCAAGGTGTGGGGTCCGGGAAAGACAAAGGAGACAGGAAAGTGATGGCATTTGTGGCCACGGGACTGTTCCTGGTGCTTTGTGTGGGCTGGCTACCCGGTCAGCCACTCCCACACATTTTCTCAGCCAACATCATGTGAACTTCTGTTCCCCCGGGCGCCCGCCCACTGTCCCACCTTCTCTCCCCCATTGTCTCCAGCAAGGTGATCGAGCACTGCAGTAACTTTAAAGAGGAGAACATGGACACATCCAGATAGAGGTCTCGGCCCCCACAGCCCCAGCGCTCTGGACCGCAAACCAGGAGGAAGCACTCTCGAGCCACCCGGCTGGCCGAGCCCTTCCAGGGAGCCTCCCACGAGATGGAGTGGCTCGGGGAGACGTTTGCACAACCGACGCTTTTCCTTAACATTAGTGAGATATATATATTATATATATAATAATTATTATTATTATTATTTTTGGTTAGGAAGTGTGAAGTTTTGTGTGTTTGATTTCTGTACAAAAACAAAAGAAACTCTCCAAGTCTCTGCAGCTTCCTTGGCCACGCTCAAGGCCCTGTTCCAAGCCTCCATCGCTGCCACACTCATGCCCTCCCCAGCCAGGCTGAGCGCCTCTAACCTCCAGCGTGCCCTCCTCTCCCGTAGAACCAGCCCTTGCCCTCGCTTCCTGTTGGGAGAGGCAGCGGGCCTTACTGTGTGCCCCACCCCTCGAGGCCTGAGGAAACCCCTCCTGGGCTCCTGAGCCCAGCTGGTGAGGTCCGGGAGTACACTGAGCCCCTTGATCTCCCAAACGCCTTGGTGCTCCCAGCTGTGAGCCATCTGGGGCAAGACATTGAGCCGTTCCCAGGCCTCGTGCTGGGCAACCCCAGCCAGAGGACCCACAAGGTGCGGGCGCCGGGGCCTGCCTGAGGCCGTGCTGCTATGGAGGCCGACTCTGAGCCTCCCACCAGGTCCCAGGCTGTTGAAGGCCCCGCCCCAGGGATAGTTAGAACTCAGGGGCAGACTCCACTGCCCCTTCTGCCAAACATAGCCAGAACCAGCCCCCAGCTCCGGAAGTCAGCACCTTCTAGGGCCAGGAGCTAAGTCCCTCTCTCCATGGCCCCTCATCTGCCTGTAACTCCCGAGGTGCCCAGGCCCTCCCACCAGCAGCACTGAGCCTGCCACTCGCCCTCTGCCTGCCCCTTTGCAGGAAGGACCCCCACCTCGCCCAGCAGTAGGTGGTCCCACTCCTATGCCAGCCTTTCACTGTGGCAGCAGGCAGTCTGACCTCTGGACCTGCCCCTGGACCCCCTGCCCGCCCCACTCTGCCCCTCCTTCCGCCCCACCCTGCTGTGTTCCAGAGACGCCTGAAAGGCAGGGGTCTTTCTAGCAGTCTGTAACTTGGAACCACTTCTTGTCTGGGACGGGGATGGTGCAGCGTCCACCCTGAGGGTGGACCTGAGGCACAGACAGAGCTGGCTCTGGAGGCAGCCCTCGGAGACCATCTTTCCCTGGGCCTGGTTTGGGACCGTCCCATCTGGGACAGCTTCAGGGGAGAGGCCACGAGCATTTTCTCCTGGAGTCTTTCCCTCGCAGCCCAGGAAGGGGCAGCTGCCCTGTCCTGTCCCCGGTGGCAGGTGGGCCACATCTGCCTCCTTCCCATGCTCATCCGGCTGAAGCCGGACCCCGGCGCTCCTCCCACACGGCTTCACCGCCTGGGCCTGGTCAATGTCTGTAATGTGGGATGTCACGGAAATACATTTTTGTGCAAAGTGCAGAGGAGACGGCGTCTTTTTTACGGAAGGGTCGGGGGTTGCTAGCATGGCTTCCAGTGTCCGGGCCTCAGGCTCCAAGTGTGGTAGCCAGCGCTGTGGTGAGGAGGGATGTGTCAGTCATTCTGGGTGCTCAACCAGAGGGTCAAGCCATGGCAGCCTGCCGTCAGGTGGCAGAGCTGAAGTCCCTGTTCCCCTGTTCCCTTGGATACAGCTGGCATCTAGACCAGCATGCCCTGCCCAGGATGACTCAGTCTGGTGGTGGAGGAGGATGTGTGTGTTGGGGGCGGGGAGTATGGCCCAGCCTGCACGATGCCCCCATGTGGCAGCAGTCAAACCAGGTGAGGTGACGAGACAGACTCTGGCCGGGCCGAGCACTGTCCCGGGCTATCCCTGTCAGCCCAGAGTCACACGACAGTGCCCTTTCACTCTCAAGGTGAAGTCCTACGTTGTGTGGTTCCACTCCTCACAGGCGACATGAGCATGTGTCTTATCGCACAGGACGGTAAGCTATTATTGGCCCTGCTCCTGGGAGCAACAGCACCTGATTAAGCCTATCCGTCTCCACCCTCCTCTTGGGACTGGACTCTCCTCTCCCCTGGGCCAGGCCTCTCTCTCCCCTTCTGTGACCTATAGTCCACTGGACAGACAGGGCGCTGGGGATTGGGGGGGAGAGGTGGTCCTGGGGTTATGGTGAGTGGTCAGTGGCTGGGAGGCAACCAGAGCCTTGCCAACACCCTTCACTTACGTGCCAGGCCTCGTGCTAAGTGCTCTACGTATATACAGCCTGCTCCTCATTATATTCTTTATAATAGCCCATTTTACAGATGAGGGCACTGGGCTCAGAACTGAAGTGACTTGCTTCAAGGCCATCACAGTGAAAGAAGGAAAGATAATAGTTCCCCACATGCACTGAGCTTTCTAGCTCCCCAGCCCTGTATGCGCCGCTTCCTGTGTCCTGAACACTTTTCCCTCTCTGCTTTGCCTGGCTCACCTGCTCACGCCATCGCAGCATGGCTTTCCCCATGTCACTCAACTCAAGGGGCCAACGCTGCCGTGGCTGCGCCTCCCATTAGACTGGGTGCTAGGTCCAGGTTCCGCTGTGTCCAGGCACCCAGCACAGGACCAGAAGCACTAACTTGTCAGATGGCTGGAAGGGGGAGGGTGGCTATGCAGGACTTTGGAACATTCTACAGCCCAGGGTGCACGCAATCCTCTGGTTCCCAGGTGGTGAGTGCCCTAAGGTGGGCTAGTGTCTTAACCAGAGAGCCCTTTGGCTGATTGTGCAGAGTGTGACCTCTAATAGGAACCGCAGTGCCAGGTGGAGGGTGCCCAGGGAGCACATCTTTGGGTAAGATGGTTGTGGGTGATCCCTGCCACCCATCAATTCGACTCACAGTGAACCCAGCTGTCTCATGGCCACCCCAGCAAGATGGGAGCTCACGAAGGCAGGGATCCGTCTGGACCAGTTAGGATGCCTTAGATGACCTCAGGCAGCGGTGACTGGACTCCCAGAACCAGACAAACTGGCCTATCAGACCTCAGGATAGGTGCACACCAGAGCAGCTCTGGTCCCTGGGGACCAGGAGCCAACGGCTGGCCTCCCCAGGGCACTGCCACCAATGGGATTAATCCATCCCAGCTGACCCCCTTCCCTCTATCTCTAGACGCCAGATCCCAAGACAGAGTGATTGGACCACTTGGATCCTGTGTCCCACCATCGTGGGGGCAGAGCAGTCTAACTGGCAGGACTGCGAAGGCCACAGTCAGTGAGAAAGCAGCTTTTCAAACATCGTATGGGTGCTGGTACCAGATCCGGGGGAATGGGTGCCGGGCAGTGTACATACCACCCCCCGGGACACTTGCGGAGTCCCAGCCTCAGAATCATTGTTAGGTGGGATTATGTGCTGGAGGTCCCAGTAGGCTCAGTCATGCATCCACCACAATCGTCAACGCTGAGTTACAAATACAGGACAGTCGACTCAAAACCCTGCCTGGGTTGATTCGATAGGAATTGGCTAAAGCCACTAGGAAAGCCCGGGGTAGAAATTGACATTAAGACTTTCTTTCCGGGACACTCTACACTCTTATCTCCACATCGTTTGTTTTTTTTTTCTCCACATCGTTTTATAAGCTCTCATTCTCTAGCCAAAAACACACGGTTTCCCTTCTACCCTTTATGCTTCAGACCAAAAGAATGCCCCTTTCTCAGCAACAGAGAGTAAATCTCATGGAATAATTCTGCTTGTCCCTCTGGATCACATGCCCACCATCGAAGGCCAATCACTGGAGACAATAAGATGGAGACCCATGACTGGACTTGCTGCATCACGTGATCAGCCCTACTTCCCTTTTCCTATTGGAAAGCAGTTTGGTTTTTTTGGGCGGGGGTGGGGGGGGAGCAGTCCCAGCAACACAGTGTGGAATGGGGAAGAGGCAGTTCCCCAAACAAAGAGACCTTGAGTGGACCAAAATGCCAGGAGGTTATGCTGCAGGGCTAGATGGGGAGGAGGCAGTGCTGGTACCTCTGAGTCAGCCAAGTTGAACCCCCACAGGCAGAATCAATGCACCCTGGACCTCCACCTCAATAGGATTCCGCTTGCAATAATAGGTGAGCCTGCAGAGCAAGGAAGTCACGGTGGCAAAATCAGCTGTTGTGGTACATTTCAGGAAACTGCCAGAAATCCAAGCCAATTTAGGACAACAGGGCATACATATCATTGCTAACATCAAATGGATGTTGGTGGGAAGTACAGAATATACCTGGGAAAACGTGTGCACTGACTGTGCAGAGGCATTCAGCTGTGCCGGCTGCAACAAACAATAACACTGAGAGGAATGGGGACCACAGTTACACTGTTGATTCAGTGTATATGAGGAGCACGCAGTCAGGTTACATGAAGAATGGCATCAGGAATGAAGGCAGGCTTATTCATCTGAAATACGCAAATGACACAAACGTGCTTGCTGGAAGTGAAGAGACGACATGCTTCGATGTGAATTGCACCTCAACTTGTTTTTAATCTTCAAAGCTGGACCTATAGAAGACAACGTGATAATTCGAGAAGTGCTTGAAGTTGCCAATGCTCATGGAAACAACAGTCAAGAAATCAAACATTGGGCAAATTTGCTGCACCATCTTTTAAAAATGCTGGAGGGGGTTGGGGGGTGGGTTAGGTATCACTTTAAACACTAGGGTACACCTGACTCAAGGCGAGTCAAAGGTTAGACAGTAACAAGGAAAACGGACGCATTAATGCCTGGGCTACGGTGCTGTCAAAGAATACGGAATATGTCATGGGCTACCAGAAGAATGAACAAAGTTGTCTTAGAAGAAGCAGAGCCAGGATGCTCTTTAGAATGGCGTCTTCCTTCCACTTTAGATATGTCATCAGGACGGGCTAATCCCAGGAGAGGTACAACATGCTTGGTAACGTAGGGCGGGGGGTGGCCGGAAGGGGGTAGACCCTCAACACGTGGCTGTGACAGTGGGCTTAAACGGCACCGTCCGAGAAGATGGCACAGAACTGGGCAGCGTTTCGTTCTAAGGTACACAGGGTGGCCACGAGTCTGAATCAACTTCACAGCACCTGAAGTCCCGAGCAGCTCAGGCCTCAAGAACCACTCCTTAGAAATGGACACAATTCTGCACCCAGGACGCGCCGAGAGGTGCACGCATGCGTGGGGCTGGAGGACACGGGCGGGAGCGAACCACGCGCTTGCTCTTGATTCTCGAAAGTTACCTGGCTGGTGGGGGCTCGGCTTGGTGGTTACCGGCTGCGCGCGCGCCGACCCCGCCCTCAGCATCTTCAGGCACCTGTTGGCTCGAGGGCTCACCCGGCGGCCAATTCCACCCAATAAGCAGCCTCCAAAACCCAACGAGGCCCCGCCCACCTCCGGGCTCCTCCAACCCCTAAGCGGCCACAGCCCCTCTCCCGCCCAGGCTCCACCCCCCAGGGCGCGTCTTCCGGGTGGGGCCCCGGGCGGAGGCGATGGCGCCTTGGGCGCTGCTCAGCCCTGGGGTCCTGGTGCGGACCGGGCACACTGTGCTGACCTGGGGGATCACGCTGGTGCTTTTCCTGCACGACACTGGTGAGCGCGACCCCTAACCCGCCTGATCCCGCGTGCTTCCCCACACGTTTGGGACTCTCTCCCCACTTCTCATCCGAGAGCCACCTGCTCTCCACCGGATACCCAGTTGAACTCTAATTAATCCCAGCATTTTCCTAACCCCTGCCCGATGCCCCGTGCATCGCAGGGCTCACCAGTGTGTCTACCAGATTGACTCGGTCTCCCCCTGATCTCAGGAAACCCCCAGTCCTTCCCAGGAATTGACTCCCAGCCTTGCCCGACTGTAAAATTCCCAAGATCAACTAAATTCAAGGACCTGCGGGTGGCATCCCACCCACCCTGGTGGCCACTAGCTTCCCAAGTCTAGGCTCCCGTCCTCAGAAGATCCCGATTGGGGCAGGGTCAGTACCCCACCTTCCCATCCTCGCGGGTTGTCCTAGAACACCCACTTATCTCCCACCCCGTCGGTAGCCGCCCCTCCCCGCACCGTGCTCTCACCTCCAGCGCAATGTCCTACCCTCACACCTCCTAGCTGCTGCCCTGCTGTAGCCTCTCAATCCCCGAATGGTCCGTGCTTCTGATCCAACTCCCCAAGCCCCTCAAGTCTCCACCACCTCTCCCTTCAGACTAAAATCCTGCTCAGGTCCGCACCTCGGAATAAGATCCCCCCAACCTCCTATCCTCTGCTTCCCTTTACAACCAGGGGCCACTAGTTGCCCACTCAGCTGCCTCCTTGAGCCCCTTCCCCCTAAACAGCAACAAAAACAATGGTCAGTTACCTCCCTGGACCCAAGAACTAGCCTGGGCCCCGCCTCCTCCGCTGGCCTGGGCCTCGACCTGCTTGCACTGGCCATTCCGCCTCCAGGCTCCCCTCTCACCCTCCATCCGGCCGCAGAAACAAGTCTGACCCGGCCAGCTTCCACTGGCCCCTGTCCCTTCTTCCTTTTTCCTGCTGGGGCCACACCTGCAAACCCTAGCTCCAGGCCTTTGCTCAGCTAAGCGCCTTTCCCTGCCCGGCCTCACCTCCCCCTCTGCCCCCCCAGAGCTGCGCCGGTGGGAAGAGCAAGGGGAGCCGCTCCTGCCCCTCACCTTCCTCCTCCTCGTGCTGGGCTCCCTCCTGCTCTACCTGGCGGTGTCCCTCATGGACCCTGGCTACGTGGACATGCAGCCCCAGCCCCAGGTAACACTCCCTGCGAGCCCAGATCCCTCGTCCCAAGAAGAGGGGCCCAAGACCCCCAGCACCGCTGGCAGCCAGGCTCTGTGCTGAGGCCTTGGGCAGGCATGCGGGGAATCTTCCCTGACAGTGAGGAAGGCCCAGAGGGCAGAGGCAGCTCAGGAAAGGTCACACAGCCTCTCATAGCCCAGGCTGCTGGGCCCCAGCTCACCACCTGCGTTCCCCAGGGGACAAGCTAACCTGGCCCGTAAGGGAGGCACCCGTGGGTGCCATCTGCCTCCCAAGGGGACCTTGTCTAATGCTTTGCCCGCCCCCCCCCCACCTCCACCCCCACTTTCAGGAGGAGCTCAAGGAGGAACACATGGCCATGGTCCCCCAGGTGGCTGTTCTTCGGCGCTGCAGATACTGCCTGGTGCTGGTGGGTCCACTGCCCAATCCTCCTGGGCGGGTTAAGTTTTTTTTAAACATTTTATTAGGGGCTCATACAACTGTTATCGCAATCCATACACACATCAATTGTGTAAAGCGCATTTGCACATCATTCTCAAAACATTTTCTCTCCACTTAACCCCCCCCTCCCTCCGACATTAGGTCCTCATTTTTCCCCTCCCTCCCCGCTCCCCCCTCCCTCATGAGCCCTTGATAGTTTATAAATTGGTATTTTGTCATATCTTGCCCTGTCTGACGTCTCCCTTCACCCACTTTTCGGTTGTCTGTCCCCCAGGGAGTAGGTCACATATAGTTCCTTGTAATCGGTTCCCTCTTTCCTACCCACTCTCCCTTTACCCTCCCTGTTTCACCACTCACACCACTGGTCCTGTAGGGCTCATCCAAGTTTAAGACTCCTTCTCTTGCCCCAGGGCCCTGGTTCTCCAGGGCCACGGCCTGGCCTGACTCCGACTCCTCCAGGAAGGTCTCCCAGATTCAGACCTGGGGCCCCTGGGCCGCGCCCGCCCCTCCCCTCCTGCTCGCCCCCCCCCCCCCCCCCCCCCCCCCCCCCCCCCCCCCCCCCCAGGGCACTGTGTTGAGCCAGGCTCCCCTCGGTGCCCACAGCAGCCCCTGAGGACGCGGCACTGCCAAGAGTGCCGCCGCTGCGTCCGGCGGTACGACCACCACTGCCCCTGGATGGAGAACTGTGTGGGGGAGCGCAACCACCCGCTCTTCGTGGCCTACCTGGCTCTGCAGCTGGTCGTGCTCCTGTGGGCCCTGAACCTGGCCTGGTAGGCCCTGTGGCGCAGGGGGGCAGGTGGTAGGGGCGGGCTGGCAGGGCCCCTTAGCTAAGGGGCTCAGGTCCTCACCCCGAACAAAGCCTGCCCACCCAGCCGCCCCAGACTCAACAGAGAGGTGTCCCCCCTGTCCTGCAGGTCCGGCCTCCGGTTCTTCCAGCCCTGGGGGCAGTGGCTGCGGTCCAGCGGGCTCCTGTGTGCCACCTTCCTGCTGCTGTGTCTCTTCGCCATGGTGGCCGGCCTGCTCCTGGCCTCGCACCTCTACCTGGTGGCCAGCAACACCACTACCTGGGAGTTCATGGCCTCACACCGCATCGCCTACCTCCGCCAGCGCGCCAGCAACCCCTTTGACCGCGGACTGATTCGAAATCTGGCCCGCTTCTTCTGCGGATGGCCGTCGGGCTCCTGGGAGACCCTCTGGGCTGAGGAGGAGGAGCAGGAGGAGGGCAGCTGCCAGGCAGTTTAGGGTCACTGGAGGCAGCCACCAAAGCCCGAAGGGCTGCACGCACCCAGCAGGTCTGCCCCCAGAGGGCATGGCCCTCACACCTGCCCACTTCCTCTCAGGCCTCACTCAGCCAGCGAAGGGGCAGGCTCCCTGCGCCAGCGGCAGCGTGGCCCTCCCTCCAGAGGAAGGAGAGGGAGAAGACCTGTAAGGTGAAGGTGCTGGAGCCCAAATGGACTCTGGGCTTCTATCTCCACCTCCCTGCCCCCCAAGCAGTTTTTCAAGTTTAATAATGTGTAAAGTAAGTATTGAGAAAATAAACCAAGCCACTCCTTTGGCACTGCTTTTCTGATCCATCATGTTGGGAGGCAGAGGAGGGAGCAGGGAACAAAAGTGACCCACTGACCCTAACTGAACACGCCCACTAGGGGCCGGCAGGGCTCACAGGCAGGGAACCCTTAGGGTTCCAGGAACTGCTCTGATACAAAGTCAAAGTCCCGGAAGGCAGCCTGTTGACGGGCGGTGAGTGGGCTCCGAGGGTCAGGAGGCGTCAGGGTGGGCGGCAGCCCTGTGAACTCTCCCTCAAAGTAGCGCAGGTCTGCAGGGCCACAGAGGGCAGGCACAAAGGGGGGCTGGACGGTGCGGGCGAGCAGGGCCTGCCAGTGGATGGCCTGTGGGCAAGGGGCGAGGGTCCTGAGATGGGTGCACAGCCTCGGAGTTCACCCCACGCCTCCCACACTGGCCCCCCTGGCCACTCACCCTGAAGAAAGGCTGTGTCTGGATCTCCGCCGCGTCCTGCTGGCCTGCCCCCAGGCGCCTCTCCGGGCACTTCTGGAGGAGCTGGAGGAGAGGACAGTGCTGGCTGAGGGCATTCTGCTCCAGGGGTTGCCTGCCTCGCAGGCGAGCGGGGGCTGGGTGTGGACTCAGAGCCGCCTCTCCCTGGCCCCTGCCAGGCTCACCTTCTGAATGAGCTCAAGCGCTTGCACGGACAGAAAGCGGGGGTAAGGGGCATCCTTGTTGACGATGCAGTCAAACACCTCCTCTTCAGTGTCCCCTGGGAATGGGCACTGAGGAGATGGGGGCTCAGCAAGGGGCACCCCACCACCCCTCCGGCTTGCACACCCCAGCAACGCCAGGCCCACCCATACTCACCTCGCCCACCAGCATCTCATAGAGCAGGACTCCCAGGCCCCACCAGTCCACCGCCCGTGTGTAGGCCTCCTGGGTCAGCACCTCGGGGGCCAGGAACTCCGGGGTGCCACAGAAGGTACTTGTCCGATCCCCAAAGCCGATCCCTGCAAAACCACCATCCACACCGATACCTGTGTCACATCCTGGTCAGTGGCCTCTGGTTGTATGAACCACCAGCCGAGCCTTCAGGTGCCACCGCCTCCGAGGCCACAGTCACACAGCTAATAGCCCAGTGCCTCTCCCTGGCCTGACCACAGGCTGTTCCTCTGTCCAAGCGCAAGGCAAGTCGGGTTGGGGTTTTAAGAGCTTTGGGCTGGGAAGGATCTGCCAACATGCCAACTATTAGAATGGTGACCCGGGTGACCAAGACATCAGTGGCCAGGACAATGCCACTTTCCCACTGCCCACCCACTCACGCTGGGGGGTGATGAGGCTGGACATGGGTACCCACCTTCCTTGCAAAGCCCAAAGTCTGCAATCTTCAGGAAACCCTGGGCATCCAACAAAAGGTTGTCCAACTTCAGATCCCTGAGGTCAAGGGAACAGATCACAGGGCAGCCGGGGTGGAGGTGGGGGGGCGGGGTCAGCAATCACCCCCAAGCTCACTCCAAACTCAAACCCATACTGTCACGGAGTCGATGCTACTATAGGTCTTAGAGCTACTATATGGAGTCTCAGAGCTACTACAGGTCAGGGTGAAACTGCCCTTGTGAGCTTGAGACAGTAACTCTATGGAAGCAGAAAGCCTCGTCTTTCTTCCTCAGAGCTGCCAGTGGTTTCGAACTGCTGATCTCATGGTCAGCAGCCCAATGCAAAACCACGAGGCCACCAGGGTCCCTGCACTCACTCCAAAAGTTACCTGTAAATGATCTTCTTTTCATGGAGGAACTGTAGTCCCAGGACCACACAGGCCAGGTAGAACCTTGGGGAGAAGGGGTGGGGGGTGGGGGCACGTGAGGGAGCATTCAGGATGAGGAGGGGGCAGGGCAGGAAGGCACTTTTCAATGGCATGGCCTGTGGACCCCTTTGATGCCCTGGCAGAGTCAGGGGTGGGTCACTGAGACTGAGACAAACCTCATGCCCCGTCTGGGAGACGCATCCAGACAACTCCCCCCAGGGTGTCCCAAGGCCACTGTGCACCAAGAGCATGTCTACCTGGGCTGTTAGGCTGTGCGGGGGGCCATGCCAAGAGTCGCTGCAGTCAATACACTCACCATGCCTGTTTCTCAGGTGAGCATCTGCGAGTCCAGAGGAGTGACCTACCCCACGTCACACAGTAGGGGCAGCCCCAGAGCCTGCACCCTGGCCGGGGAAGAACCCAGCCCCAGGTCCCCACGGCTGTGCACGCCCTGCGCCCGTCCCTGTGCCGGGCACCTGACAGACACTACTTTCACCTATATAATAAGTGTGTGCAATAGATATTATGGATCGAACGCACAGCCAGAAGCCACAAAAAATAAACTGAGGCCGGGTCAGAAATGCTGTGAGGGCTGGAGTCAGGGTCAGAACCCAGGCCTATTGTACTTTGGGCTCCTGGAGGAGGCGGCACGCAGGGAGCTGGTAGAGGGCAGAGGCAGGCCAGAGCGGGGGGAACGCACCGGGCGTGGGGCTCCGGGAAGACATCCTCGTGGATCTGCACCATGAGGTCTCCTCCAGGTGCAAACTCCGTCACAAAGCAGGTGTGGCCGGCCGTCTGGAAGCAGGCCAGGAGGGAGAGCAGGAAAGGGTGCCCGCTGCGGCCCACGGCCTCCAGGATCCGCTTCTCACAGTACAGGCTGCGGGGCAAGTTCATGGGGCTCAGAGGAAAGGACCCACTTCTTGGACCACGCTGCCACCCACACGACACCCCTGACTCGCTGGGACCTCAGGCAAAGGGCCAGGTAGGGAGAGAGATGCTGCTGCTCTATTGGGCTCACACAACCCCCAATGAACCCATTGGAAACAGGTTAGGAGAAAAGAGGGCACACAGTTAACAACAGGGTCACCTCTCCAAAGCCTGCACCCTCGGGTGCCCACGGCCCTGGCCCTGGCCTTCAGAGGTGCTCTCTGAGCCCAGGTGGCTGGGAAGGCACCTCCTGCTACATACCTCTCTATCTCATCCCGACTCAGCACCTCCTGCTTCTTCAGCGCTTTGATGGCATAGTATTTCCCTGTCGCCCTGAACTGGACCAAGAGGACCTGAGGGCAGAGAGGTGGGCTCAGATGGACCCTGCTGCGGAGCTCCACTGAGCCACCCCCTCCCACACCACACTGCCCCCTCCTTAGCCCTCTACCTTCCCAAAGTGCCCTCGGCCCAGTACAGCTAGGCAGCGGAAGTCCTGAAGCCGGGGGGGTTTCCTATAAGACAGAGAGGGCACAGGACACCCCTAAGACAATGGCTGGGCCCCTACTGGATCCTCTCTGAAACCTCCATGCCTTGCCCCAGGGGTGGCCCGCAGGAAAGGGGCTGGCGCCAGGACAGCACTACCCTGGCGCCTGGCATCATAGTGCGAGCTCCAGGATGGCTCAGTGGGGAAGCCCGGACCCCAAGCCAGTGACCTGTCAGGTGCCAACCGAGAGATGAATGAAAGGCTACACAAACGTTCAAGCAAGGGGGTGAATGTCTCCACTGGGGGTACCTGGCGGTTGAGGCTGGCAGAGACGACCCCAGTCCTGTCCTGGACTCCATGTGCGGCCGCTTGGTGCACTGTGAGAGCAGAGGGCTAAGTACCCAGCTGGGGTTACACGCCCCA